TGGTAGGATCTCAATCAAGTGTAACAAATTAACATCTTATATACATTACACATTTTAAGGACATATGGATGCCTGTGTGTTAGGTGTGCCGTGTGTGTGTGCAACACTCGCCTGCCCCTCCCCCATTCTTCCAACACAAATAGTCAAAACCTAGATAAGGATTTTAAGGTTATACCTCAACTTTGGCAGTTAAGGTATAAAAGTTATTACTCAAATTATGTAGAAAACTTTGTGATAACTATTTATTTAAATATTTATTAATTATTGATATAAATATTAATATATTGTAACAAATATATTAATATCAGATATTATCTATGTAACAATGTTACCAATATTTATTAATAAATATCAAATATTTCCTTGATAAATATATATTTTATATATTTATTTATATATAATATATATTTTTTATTTATCAAGGAAATAATTAATTGATTTCACATAACAAAGGTTCTTCTAATTGAAGAATGAACATTTTGAACTCATAAGTTGATAAATAATTATAAAATAACAGGTTTGGCATTCCAAAAATCAATTTTTAAAGCCTTGATATTAAATTATTATTAATGCTGCCAAAAAGCGACACCAAAATTTGGGCACTATTATCCCAAATATGTAATGTACTACAGATATCTTAGTACAATGAACAGTAAGTATATAGGAGTCACACATAAAAATATTTACTTATATACCTTCATCATCAGTATTGAGTTTGGTTTCCAGTTCTGCAATCCTGTATCTTTTTTCAAACACTGAGAGTTGCACTATATCCCTATTACTGAACACATTTAGTTAATTATGATTCAATTAAAAATAACATGAAAAGAATAACACATGGTAACTCACTACTTCAGAAACACCATACTATGAAACATCACTCACTAATGGTCTGGTTGAAAATAAGGAATCAAGAAAAAAATGCAGGCTTCCGATAACATGGGTCCAGAAGGACACTCAAATGCACTAAAGCTCAAAGCTCTCCATATAACTACTTAACACCCTTTATTCTTAAAAGTTGACCCCATGAAGTCTGACAGTTTTTGGTTATCTGGTTTCTCAAAGCCCAACAAATGAGCTGCAAATTACTATAGAAAGGAATAGCTAGGACAACAGGTAACAACTGGCAACCTGATACGAACAGAAAAAAAGAAGCACTGAAAAAAAAAATACACACATAACACTACAGAGATAATCAATTTAGGACATCAATAAGCATAGTAGTTCTCAAAATACAACAGAATCATTTATTCAATACATATTTTTGAATGCCTATTATGTTAGAGGCATTGTGATAAGTGCTGAAGATATACCCAGTAAGAACAGCAATATGCAGCAGCCAACTTCCACTGAATGTTTATCACAAGCCAATGCTAAGTGCGTTACAAACATTTCATTTAGTTCTGGTAACAACCACATAATGTGTAAGATAAGCATTTCTACTGCAGTCTTAGATTTGAGAAAACTGCAGCTTGAGAGGTTCATTAACTTCCCCAAGATCATGTAGTTGCTGAGTGAAGAGTGCTGGGATTTGAACTTATGCAGGATTCCTCTAAAGTACTGGTACCTATACTCTACTGTTTCAGGGACTACAAAACTTGTCCTCAGAGGGCTTACAGCTTATTATCAGACCAAGAAATGACTGAGCAACTAAAAGAGTGTGGTTGGAGCTGTTAACAGAAGCAAGCAAAGGAAGCTATAAAGACCACTGCTTCCACACAGGCGAGTCTACCCTTCTGTGGCCTACTGGTGGGGACAGGGGAACCTTAAAAAACAAAACAAAACAAAAACTACTTAAAATGTTCCGAAGTTTTAGTAAGAATACTTACATGGTGTTTTTTAATAAGTATATATTTAGGAGGGGCTTCATTTTTACAAAATGTCACCAATTCTTAAGTGCTCCTAAAGGGATGAAACAGCAGTATAATAACTGAACAAAATGTCTGGCAATTGAAACAGAAAACCTGAACTTACTGGAACATCAAAAGCACACACACATTTTAGTATTAGAACATATGCACACAGTACACTCCATCTGACTTGATCCTGAAGGCAGTTCAATACCTGCTTCTTTGTAACACCAAATGTATGAGGTCAATCAATCTATACTGTTTTCAGATGTCACCAGCTCTCCCCGGGTTATCAGTGACCCTGCAGCTGTCACATCGGCAGCAGGGCCTTCGACCTTGAGCCCTGGACCACCCCCCCACATTCTGGCCTTCGCGTTGGCGGCGAGGCCGTGACCCCCACACCCGGCGGGAGCGCGCGCCGGCCCCCAACTCACTTCAGGTGCATTTCTTCCGGTAACTCCAATTTAAGGCGGTCGGTGCTCACACCGTCGAAGTTGTCGCCTCTTCCAACACAGCGTCAGTCCAGAGGCCTCCCACACCCCTCCCTCACACAGCTGACAACACTAGGCCTGAGGGGACACTCAGAAGCCGGGTGAGGGGAGGCTCTCACAGGCTTGGTCGGGGGAAGGCCTCACGGTCGCGGCCAGGCTCCTCCCCGTGACGCCACAGGGCGGCGCCCGCCCGGCTGGGCTTCCCAGTGCTGTTCACAGGTGTTAAGAGGGCCAATGCTGGAAGTTTCCAATTGAATTATTTAAACAGAACGTGAGGTAGTGTGGTACGTTAGACGGATAGGGTGTTTAGTGTCCAAAAGAACCGTCCTGAGTTGTGGGCCAAAGATAATTGGCAGCATTTTGAGGCATCAATTCAGTTAAATGCAACTGAGGGCTTATTTTGTACAAAGTTATGTGTAAGATACCAAGTATGTTCACTGCCTTCAAAGAATCTACAGTTTAACTGAAAAGTGCAAAAGAACTCTCCTCACAGCATGTCAGTAGTCACATGGTATGGCAAATTTTGTACTCCTAACTTTTGTGCCCAGCCTGAGGCAGGTTGTGGGGAGCAAGGTGCTGGTCACCTCTCAGACACTCACCAGTGTCTGTTCTGTTTTGGTGGCTCCCCTTCTTCGTCCTGAGCCACTGTTCTTAGTTCTCTCATAGACTGGGAAGGTGGGGATGAGAGTGAGCTGGATGGTAGACAGATAGTCACACATTCTCCCAAGTCTGATTCACACATAATCATAGCTTTTGCAATGTAAAAAGCTAAGAACTGATGGATTTATTCTCTAGTTTGTCTATAGAAATTCTTGCTCCTTTGGGTCAGGAGGGTCAGGAATCCTCTCTGCCTCTAATGCTGCTTCCAGCATCACTACATGCTTCCATCTTCATGTAAAAACCCACTCCTTTGATATGCCATCTTGGGTGTGACACATCTACTTTTCCCCTTGCTTCACCCAGACTTACTAGTCACAACCTGTCTACTGACTCTGACTAAAAAGGTAAGCTTTCCACTGTTAAGTCTTTCTTCACTCTTCAGTTTGCAACTCTCAGCACTTTAATTTCCACTCCACTTCCATAGTTACAGACTGAATCCTGTCATCAGTGTGGCTTTAGTTCAAAAGCCTTAATTTAAAAACTGCTGTTGATCTGAAACGGCAACCCACAAACAAGTGAACAGAGTAGAATGAAGTGAACGGGACAACTAGGTTCCTGTTGACAATCCAGCTTTGCTGACCTCTGCTCTAAAGTAATTTTTTAAACTTCAGGCTCCATAATTGTCATTCCATTTCTTAAATAAGGCAGAGACTGACTGAAAGCTATTTACTAATTCAACTTTATTTCCATTTCAAATAGAACATTATCCTTGGCCCCAGGAAAAGGCTCCAATTCTGTGTTCCTGAAATACAAGCCCATGAATACATTTGAGGCCAACGTAAATCAAAGACAGTTTATTCACAAAGTGCACTCTAGTTTCAAATAAAGTCTAATAAAGTAAATAGCAATTGGAGGTTCATAAATATCAGAATGGACTATAGTATGAAAACCAATGCCAATCTTTTAAAATCAAGAAACAAAAATAAAATGCCAGCTATTTTAATTACATGTTTGTAGCTTACAGGTCTGTGAATATCCTATCTTCTGCCAAAGTGGACACCGTTATGCCATCCATGATGGATAAATGCTTAAATCCTGAATTATCTGAACTATTAATAAAACCTTTCTAATAATTTAATTCATTGGCTTTTTAGTACATACAATTTTAATGACTGAATCCCAAAATAAAAATTATTTACCATTCATTAACTCAACTGTTTATATTTTAGTTTTCACTAAATTTTAGCCTTTGGGAAAAACTTACAATAGAAGTGATTACATTTTTGTCCAATTAAGCTGATAATAATCACTTTAAATTGTTACAATACCAACCACAGTCCCAAATTTCCTAGGTTCCTAATAGATCAGTAACAGTATAAATCTAGAAGACTTAATTCTAGAAGACTTAAAAATGTTTGTATTCTTTTAAAATAAAAAACTGTCCCATTTTCTAACAAAGAGATAAGCTACCAAATTATTTTATAGAAACTCATTTTAATTTTCATGATTAGTCTATTCCTTGTGAAAAAGTCATTTAAATGTTATGCAAGAATTCTTTTCATTTAGGATCACAGTTTTTGTTTAGCTTACATACTGACAATTCTGACAAGCACCCAAAAAAAAATCCACAATTAGTGCAAAAAGAGGAAACAACATTTTAAGTCATTCCTTCCCAGTACACATGACTTAGAACTAAGGTTACGAAGTGCCGATTTTATGTATATGTGAATATAATAATTTCCTACTTCACTTTCTGAAAGACAGCAAATACAAAAATAGATTACCATTAGGTTTAATGAAGTTTATAGCACATCTGTTATCAGTCTTTTCTTAACTGCAAAAATATTTTAGCCACATTTAGAAAAAAATAAATTCACAGAGAATGTTAACTATATTTCTAAAGATCAGATGCAAGAATACTGATTCTTTTCCGCAGAAGTAGAATACATGACATAAAGCTTGTGAAATAGTCACTTTGTAGGAATGAATACACTTAGCCTATTTAACAAAACTGCATCCGTCTGTAAGGCTTTGGTATAGGCAATGCACAGCACTTCCATCACTTATCTTTCTTCTTTGCCCCGTTCTTCTCTGGTCTCTCTTTCTGCTCATCTTTCTCCCCTTTTATGTCTGCACTTGCTCCTCCTCCTTGATTTTCCCCCTTAGAATTATCAATGATTTTATAGTCCTCAAGCAGTGTGTGTCCTGTTTGTTTTGCAGTTTTCTTCACCATTGCTTTGATGCCAATGTTGTCAATATTATACGCAGTTACACCAACATTGATGGCAGAATCTACTGCGTTGTGCGTAGCTTCTCCTGCAGTATGCCCATATCTTTAAAAGAAAGATTAGAGAAAGCAGAACAAAATTACAAACATAAATCAAAGTCTTCTGAATTAGTGTTAAATAGGTCACGTGAATAGTATGTTATCCTTGGAAGCAAAATCAAAGATTAAGTTTCAATTTAATTAATAATGTAAAACACAGTAAAGAATAAAATCACACTGTGCCAACACTGTATTTTCTCCTTCAGTAAAAATATTATGAAAATAAACTGAGGCTGAGATTAATGCAATGAAGGCTGTTTATGCTGAAGAACAGAATGTAAATTTTAATAAAGGCTGTTGATCAGTCATCATTTCCTTTATCTCTTTCTGGAAATGTTAGAGAATTTTAACTGAAACAACTATAGGTCACTATAAATGGTTTTGAGTTCTAACTTAAGTTAGAACTTAACTCTAGTTAAGCCTTTCAAACTACTGGAATCTGAGATTGTCTCTAAACACAGATTTTACAACTTTCTCTCTCACTCCACTCTACCCCACTGCAGACTCACTGGCCTTCCTGCTGTTCTTTGAACCCACCAAGCACGCATGTAGTGGCCCTATGACCTTGGTAGTAGCTGGTATCCATGCAGACTACTCTCACCCCAGGTATCCACATGGCTAACTGCCTCACCTTCTTCAAGTCAGCTATAATTCTCTTAGCATTTAACCTATTTTAATTGCCTCATCCCACAGCCAATCAATCCTCCCTTAACAGCTCTTTCTTCTTTAACTTAATGACTGTTTCTATTATAGAACTGACTCACTGGAAAAGACCCTAATGCTGCGAAAGTTTGAAGGTTGGAGAAGGGGATGACAGAGAATGAAATGGCTGGATGGCACCACCGACTCGATGAACAGCAGTCTGAGCAAGCTCTGGGAGTTGGTGATGGACAGGGAAGCCTGGCGTGCTATAGAGACAGTCAGACATGACTGAGCGACTGAACTGACAACTACAGAACAACTTTCTAAATACCAAAACAAAAACACCCACTGTTTTTGTTTTGCTTGTTTATCTCACTAGAATATAAACCCCATTATAAAAGGATCTCTTTGCTTTGTTCATTAATGTATCTTAAGTACTTAGAACAGTGCCTAATACCTAATATTTCTTGAATGAATAAAATAAGCCCTGCCTGAGCCTTCTAAGAGTTTCCTGGATTCTCAAGTAGAGCAAAGGACTTGGGAAATTGTAAAACATCACACAAAGCAGTTATTCCTGACCATAATCAATACAACTGATAGTGTTTAATACCATGTCCATAAGAAAATACAACTTGAGGTGTTATATACAAGGACACTAAACCTTATTCTACTTTCTGTTTTACCCTTTACCTTTTTCTAAATACCAGGCTTTAAAATCTTTTCCTGTCCATAGGTTTCCCCAAATAGAGGACTGCTTAAACAACAAATAAGAACAAAAAGGCAAATTTTTAGTTTTTTTTTCAGAACATACTGAAGTTTCCTAGATGCTTTATGACCAGTATCTGGACATTTTTTCTTACACAGGATCAGACCTCCAAATTAACAAGTCCTCTATTACTTTTAGCCTGGCCTTCTGTGGTTTGTGATCCTACTGGTTTATTCATTTTTTTTGTTTTTTGTTTTCCACTTCAGTGCTAGAAATATGCAAAATCTTATAATGCTTCTGAGTGATATTTCATTCAGAATGTTAATCAGAACCAGAGCACAGCAGAGCCTACAATCTGTCAAACCTTATGTCTACACCGCTCTTGATTGGGGCTTTCGCAACATTTACCCAATGGAAAAGCTCCTGACTGCTTTCTGCCAGTCCCTGCTGCTTTGCAACCCCTCGGAATTCCACAGAATTGCTGATGTTGCAAAAGACATGGGGCCTTCTCACAGTCAATTAAGCCCCAGTCACAAATGCCGTGATCACACGGCAATGGCTCAGGCTCTATGAGAAGAAAAGGGCGGAGGCAGTTTCAGCACTGGAAGGGTGCTCAAAACTCCTGGTTGAGCAGGTCCCTCTCAGGGCTCCTCTCTCCAGGCCTGGGTTAACTACAGTGAAGTGATATGATGACTGAAGAATGTGGCCATAAACTGGGAGTCATAAAATTAAGATTCTAATACCAAATGGGCCAACAATTAGCCATGTGACCCAGGTGAAGTCCCCACCTCTTTGTACCTCATAAAATTTCCTCTCCTTTATCTTATGAGATGTGTGTGTCATAGCACTTTGAAAATTCCTAGGACTAAAGATATTTTAAAGACCCTACAGAACAGTTTTTCAGAAGTTGTGTTTATTTTTTAAATATCTCCTCACTCATCACATCTGCTTCCCAACATGTCCAGGAGCCAGGATTCCTGGCAGACATCCCTTTCTCCTCTCTTGTCTTGATAAATAACTCTTCAGTTCTTCCCTTTATTCAGACCCTACACTCCTAGAATGACTATCTCTGGCAAAAAAAAAAAAAAAAGCTTATTTTTTATTCTTCCTTTTAAAAAAGTTAACTATAATTAGCTAATTGAATTACATCTTATATACTGAATACTACCAATTTAAGAACAATAAAAAATGAATATAAAGAATGCTCTAAATAAGTCAATGGGATTTAGATGTCAATTTGAATGAGACTTTTCAGGAATTTCTCCAGTGCATTCAGTAACGTATAGCAAAATAACACCCTGGCAGTGATTCCAGATTTCACTCATTATAGCAAAATTTCATCACAATTTTCTAATAAATCTGCCTAAAATTCAATTTACATGCAACCTTCAAAGTTATTCTTAGAAATGTTAACCTTAAATATTTAAAACAGAAATAGCTTCTTAATAGTTTTCAAACACAGATGGGTTACAAGCAACCTTATAGGTGAAGCTAAGGAGTTTAAACTTGATCTTGAAATCAGTAGGAACAGTATGACCAAATTTTATTTCAGAAGGATCTATCACAGGTTGCATTGTGAACTGTAAGGGTTTAAGACTGAGGAACCAGTTAGGAAACAAGTTTTGAGCTGGATGAAAAATGATGAAAATCTATTCTAAGGTAATGGTAATGAGGCTGGAGCTAAACGGATCAATTAAAAAAAAAAAAAGACTTGTGAACTGAATAGCTGCAGTGGTATGCAGCTGGGATGTATGAGTCTATAGATTAAAAGTTAAGAGGAAATATAGATCTAAGTGTTGCTGAGATATAGGTGATAATTGTGGCCACAGGTGTGTGTGTGTATATATATATACATGATATCCACAAATGGCAGAAAAGGTAGTACAGAGTAAAACCATAGACAGAACCAATATTTAAGGAATGAGTGTGGAAGACAACCACCCTAAGAAGCATCTGTAAGACAAAACTGAAAGGTGGGAAATGACAGTACTGTTAGGAAATGTGTAGACAGCTGACCCACCAGTCTCAGTAAGTATTAAATCTTGGATAAAGATCAATCAGGAAGAAAGGCTACAGTAAGCATGTGATTTGACTTTAGTTACACACACACACAAAAACCTGTGTAAAAATCTTAAGACGTAAGAAAGACATGTCTTTCAACCTACAGGTAACTCAAAATGTAAGGCTAACATGGCACACATCAAAATCTGAAGCCAAAGTGATAGAATTAATGATGGGTCAAAATCAACAAAGTGCAATTAAGCCAAAATAAATGTAAAGTTTTTATTTAGGTACAAATATCAACTGTCTAAAAATAAGGCAAAGGTTCAGATTGTAAAGCAATTATAATTCAGTTAAGAAAAACAAGTTTGATATGGGTCAATAAAGTAACAGCTACTATAAAGACATACCCTTTGTCTTCTATTCCGTATTTATCACATGCTAAATATGACCAAAACAAGGGAGACAACCCCACTGTATTCAACTGTATTCAATATTAGATTCAACTCTGGGTTCCATATTTTGAGAACAACATTCACAAAGCAAAGATCTGGAAACCATACTATATATGGAATTGTTAAACTGGGAGTATTTAGTAGAAAAGAAAAAATAAGCGAAAGACATAATGATCATATTTAAATATGTCTACAGTCACCATACTGAAAAGACAAGACTGATCCCATACAACTCCTAAGTAGATGTGATATAGAGTTTTATGGATAATATGACATCTGCTAAAGAGGATACCCTCAAACAGATTTGAATTTGCCCCTTCACCCAGTGAAAATTTAAGGGAAACTTTAATTAAAATTTACTAAATAAACCAGTTAAATACTATACCTTAAAAGAATTAATTTGTTACAGAAAAATATTTTTACTAAGCTTATTCTTCACACATATATGTTCTAAGATAAAATATTACTGAGGGGGAAACAAAAATGCACCTAACTTACTAAAGTTACATTATTTTCTTTTAAACAATTTAGAGTGGAAAAAAGGAACTTAAAGGTGAAAGTTAGAAACTATGAAGAAGAGTGATGAATTATTTAATAGATACTATACTGCAATTAGGTATAGTAGGTTTAAAGTTACTCAATTGCTTTTTCCTTATTCCTGTAGTTCTTCTTGCTCCTAAATCTAAATTATAATAAAAGTAGTAATATAACTGACAAAAATAAAGTCTTAACAAATCTTTCTTATACATTTACTTCAAAAAATTAGTAGGAGTGTAATTAATTATATAGGTCATTAGGTAAGTCATTCATAATGAATGAACACAGTCCTGAATCAGAATCAAAACCATAAAAGGCATGGAGAATATACTTATCTAATACAAGCTGCCTTTAAATATACCTAAATTAAAAAAAAATAATTATTTGTATTTGCTTATACTACAAGAAACCAGATATGGAAATTTATGTAACATATTTTTCCCCTAAGGCATAGTGCAAATAATTAAGGCAGATTTGAAACAACTACTTGGGAGAGTAATTTCTCATAGGCAATAAGAATACACATGTTCAAAAAATAGTAAGTTTTCTTCATAATACCATCATCAGTTGGATTAGAGTAGAAAAATACAAATGCTCCATCTATCAAATAGCTTTCATAGTGGAAATAAGTGTAAATTCATAAATGTAAACAAATATAAATTTATGTCAATTATGGAGAACTAAACTAAATGGAAGAACTAGATTTTCCAATTCTTCAGTGATAAATATCACTGAATTATTACTGGTTTAATACCTGCAGTTTCTTCTCCTAAGAGGCAATTTCTACTTCTGGTCAAGAGTATTCATAAATGAAAAAACAGTATTACTTGGACAAACCTGTTATTTCCCACTGTCCCTCCCGTCTTTCCAAGTTTCTAATTAAGTTACTGCCAACACTAAGGTATCCTGATAACTGGAAATACAAATCTAATTAACTAAATCTTCACCTGCTTCTTTTCTGAAAAAAAGAACTGAATCTTTGCAAGAAAGGATAAAACTAGCAATATACACCATAACAGAAATAAATTAGCTCCAAACCACAGTAAAAATACTCTCATATCACATTAAGTTCTCCTCACTAAGGACAATAAATACAAAATTTACACTAAAACCTTGTACTTCCTAGTTAGGTGAATTTCAAACTTTTAAAAAGACTCAACTTAATTCAAGTACTTAAGTCCTTTTTTGTTTTTTAAGAGTAGGAAATGGACAAATCCAATAAAGCACTTCCTACTTACTCATGTGACCACCTATTTAGCCATGCTAGCACATAATCTAAAAATCATCCACTTTTGGTCTAAAAAACACTACTTTCTCCTGCACTTGCAACAAAAAAAAGAAGCCATTTTTCTAATGATGACTAATCCATCAAAGTAACCTAAAAGGGATAACAAGAAGAGTATTAGATTAGAGGTCAATGCCAAGAGTAGCAAGAAGTCAGCTGGGAGACTTGGGTTTTACATTTCCATCAAAATTCAGATCTACTCTGCATCTGGTTTCCCAAGTCCTCTGGTAAAACTGATACTCCTTCATGATATGCCATGTTGCTTTTACTCAAAGGTATGTTTGCCCCAGACTGAGCAGACCAAACCAACTTAGGCTGGAAATTAAGTTAGTAATTTAGTCGTTAGCTAATTTACTATGATGGGAGGGAGTCTAAACATACCAATGTAGTGCTGGAAAAGAATTACAGATACTAAACTCACACAGATATCCCATTAAGGAGAGTGGTGGCCTGGCACTGTTTCCTGACACTGCATGACAAAGACCTGGCTTACATCTCAGCTCTACCACTTACTAGAGTGCAATTCTTAATTAAGTATTTAATGCTCTATGCTTTTGGTTTCTTCATCTATAGAATGGAGATAACAGCATTAAAAATTAAACACGACATATGGAAAGCACTGAACACAATGTCTGATGCATAAGCATGAACTCAAATGCTGTCAGTGAGTAAATAATTAATATATATAACCAAGAGCTGAGAACATGATTTTTTCTTCTAAATAAACATTAACTATTAAGATCCAAACAAACTCAGTTAAAAAAAGCAACTCAAGTCCTTCATACTAAATTTGAGTTTAGACTTCCAGTACTTATAAAGACAGAATAAAGAGCTAAAATCCTATTTTTAAGTCTCATCTTTAATACCACTTATCAGATGAGCTTGAATAAATCATTCAGTTCTATGGTTGCCCATTTCTTAAAGGCATGTCTTATACCATCTGTCTGTTCCAATACATATGCACAGTGGTACATTCAAATAAGATGTGAAAATTGAATATTCTTCATATATAGAAGGGCTAGTACTAGCAAAGTATACTACCTTAAATATAATTCAAGTTTTCCCCACCAAAATCACAGATAAACATCACTCATCAAGAACATGAAGGCATACAGAAACTCCAGGCATTAAAAATAACATGAATCTATTCTTTCCATTAACGATGGGTAAATATAACAAAATCAGTAATATGAGGCAAAGTCACAGTAATACTATTGATTTCTAGAATCTTTACTCTTCTCCCTATTTAGAAATAGCAAGTGAAAAAAACTGTTTTATCAGATATTCAATAAAAAATAGCTATACAATCATTTTAATTGTCTAAAATTCAACTTACTTGTATCTGACAGTTTGTACAGTTTCTGCTGAAACATTGTTAACAATGCATTTAGCTGCACATTCCAATCCTTGCCAGACAGTTGAGAATCCTGAAAATACATTTAAAAGTAAGTAAAACCAACCCTTGGGAAACAGACCTTCCTAAGTTTTCAGAGTTTTATGTTACCTTGAACACTACTTGCTGCTACAACCATAGCACCATCCAGGGTAGACTTTCCATTTCGGTCTTTCTTAAGAGATTCTGGAACAAGTTTGCTTCCGTGCTTCTTGACGTGTGGAGCTAATTCCTTTCCAACACAGTTTGCCACAGTACAAACTCCGTCAACTAGTATAACCATTTAAAAGAAAAAAAACTTAGAAAAACATGTATTTTCCCCTTGATTTTACCATTTTCAAAAGCAAAATTCTTTCATGAGTATCTAAAGTTATTTCATTGTATAATGTTACCATTCCTATTTAAAAAAGCATGAAAACAAGGCTGGTTATTTTTTTTAAACAAAGGCTATTGTTTGGTTTAAGGATGTGTTTGCAGAGTTTCAGTTCAGTTCAGTTCAGTTGCTCAGTCGTGTCTGACTCTTTGCGATCCCACGAATCGCAGCACGCCAGGCCTCCCTGTCTGTCACCAACTCCCTGAGTTTACTCAAACTCATGCCCATCGAGTCAGTGATGCCATCCAGCCATCTCATCCTCTGTCGTCCCCTTCTCCTCCTGCCCCCAATCCCTCCCAGCGTCAGGGTCTTTTCCAATGAGTCAACTCTTCACATGAGGTGGCCAAAGTATTGGAGTTTCAGCTTCAGCATCAGTCCTTCCAAGGACTGATCTCCTTTAGGATGGACTGGTTGGATCTCCTTGCAGTCCAAGGGACTCTCAAGAGTCTTCTCCAACTACTGCGTCTTAAATATAATGTTTCATCACTTTGCTTAGAAGAGAATCATTCACCTTTTCTATTTGCAATGCAAGATTGGTAGATCCAACTATCATGTTTTCCAGCTAAGCGAATTTGTACTTTTTCTCCCTATCAGCAAATACTCAACTGAAATAGTAATAAAGTATTTAAGTGTATATAAAAGTAAACACACCAAAAACCTGATTCAAATGCAATGACTTGTCCTTGAAAGCATGTATCATATACTCCAGGATGGTAAATACACTTGGCAAATACATTCCCTTTCAAAGGCACAGATGTTCCCCTCTCCAACCCATGAAAATAACCTTTAACCAGTGCTTCTCAAACTTTAACAAGCAAGTGCATCACTGAGACTCTTGTGAACTGGAAGTGCCCAATCAGCAGGTGTGTCAGTGCCTGACATACTTCTAAGGCTTTCAGGTTGGTGCTGCTGGTCTACAGATCCCACCACAAGTAGCAACGCAAAACTGCTTTGTCCGAATTCTTTACCCTCAAAGTTAAACCATCTAAATGAGGTTAGATTAATCTGGACTAAAAGAAGATTTTTAATTTAAGTAAAAAGTAGTAAAGGAATCTAAAGTCACTTTACCCAGAAACTGACTGACTTTGGCTGCTCCTCCAGTCGCCTGCTTTGCCATATAAAGTCCCTTGGTCACAGCTGGACTAACTTCCACAGGCTTTTCTTCTGGTTGAATCCGTTCTCGGAGTTTAGATGCTCCTTTCTGGATGGCTTTGCCAGTAAACTCAGCACCTTTGACCAAACCCCAACTCACCCAGGAAGCACCTTTTAAAGGGAAAAATAACTGGATAAAATTAGGACTGATTATCTGGGTTCGATACCTGGGTTGGGAAGATCACCTGGAGAAGGAAAATGCTACCCACTCCAGTATTCTGGCCTGGAGAATTCCATGGACTGTACAGTCCAGGGGGTCGCAAATAGTTGGACACAACTGAGTGACTTGCACTTTCATACTATACATTTAAAACCTATACCAAGATTAAGGGGGGATTTCCAAGGGGAAAGGAAAATAACTGATTTTATGTTCAGAGTTATTCTGAAAGCTTGGGGTTTCTTGAAGCTTTTCACTACCAATTCTCCCAAGAGTAAAAAAAGAGAAAAATAAACCAAGAAGAACTTACAACAATATGACAATATGTAACATTCGAAGAGATCAGTTCTATTTTTAAGTATTTATAAACGGATCATTTAAAACCAGAACATAAAATAGTATCTTTCCAAGTATTCTCTAATGGGACCCACCCAAAAGCTTCACATCATAAGTGAAAAAAGTTACCATTACTCTAATACCTGACAAAATGTTGTGAGCCACTTTCTCACTCCACTCAGGTAACTCCTTTGCTCTTTCTTCTGAAACTGGCTCACAGGGTACAATGTGACTCAGATTAACTTCTTCACTTGAAGTACCTTTGGTCTAAATGGTAAAAAGATTTCAAGAAGTGAAAACAATAAAAACTAAGATGAGAGAAAACCATAAGCATTTTGTAATAAAATACTAATCCAATAAATACTAATGAATGAAAGTATTTCCAGCCAACCTAATTATTAGTACATTTTAGTACATAAAACATAATACCCATAACCACCATGAAGCTGAAAATTGTTCTGGTCTTATGTTAGGTCCCACTGGTAAGTAAGATTTAAATACCAACATACCTCCAATACAGCATTTATCAGATTATATGTAAATTGACTTTTTTCTTTCCTTGACTAGACTGAGTTCCTTCAGAGGGCTAAATACCCATACGCATACAGTCCTCGGTAAGGTTAAAAGATATGTTAAATAACTCAATCAGTAAAGAAGAATGCATCCAAATGAACTGGTTTTGACAGACATCAAGTAAAAGCAAATAAAAATACATAAATACAGAATCTGCCATTCCATTTTAATGGAAACAGGAAACACAGAAATACTTGCTAATTCAATGGCTAGGGCCAACACTCAAAATTTCAAAGCTAAATTTATTTTTTCATTCTAAATACTTAGCAGTAGGCTAATTCAGACCTCATAATATTATGAAACAACTTGAAACTCAAATTTAACCCAACAGAAATACAACCTGATTTAAAATATAAAACATTAAAAACAAAAATTTCTACACATGGGAAAAAGCCACTCATAAATAAAATCTAAAGACAAAATGAACAAAATACTTGCAAGTTACATATCTTTGACAATGGGCCAATGTCCCTAATATATAAAGAATTCTGAGAAACTAAGAAGGACTGGCAACCCAGTAATAAAAATGGACATGACTAGACATCACAGAGAAAGGATATGACTAGACACCAGGCAGAAAGCAAAAGTCGAGTTACCCTTACACATCTGCTCAACTTTACTCACAAAAAGATCAATGCAAACTAATATATTCCAGTATATTTCGCTCATCATTGCACTGCCAAAATACAGAAAGAGCAACCATCCACTCTGCTGAGCAGGCTATGGGGAAACAGGTGTTCACGTACCCCTGGTACTGTCTGAACTGTGTAATCCTTAAGAAGGGTAATGCAGCAAGATCTATCAAAATCACAAATGCACTGATCTGTTGACACAGTAACCCCACCTCTAAGAATGTGATGAATTACCTACAGATGTATGATCAATAGCTCTACAAAGTTATTCACTGATGCACTGTTTGTAATAGCAAACAACCACACCAAATACCCCTCAATAAGAGGCTGATTAAATAAAGTGTTTCTATTCATACAATGAAATACAACATAAAAAAGACTGAGGAAATTCTAGGACACTCTATATGATGCCACCTTTTGTATAAGAAAGAGAGAGAAATAATAACAGATTTTGTTTGCTTTTATCTACCTCAAAAAACCCAGAAAAGAAACAGAAGACACTAATAAAATTACCTACAGTGGCAAAAGAAAAGGTGTAGATTGGGATGAAGGAGGAAATAAAGCTTTTTGAAGGTATCTACCATCTCATGTAATTTGATTTTTTTAATCAAGGAATTAAATTTTTAAAAATGAACTTCTAACTTCCATTTTGAATGCCCATGTTCTCATAAAGCTGGTTCAAGATGCTCAACATAACCCACAGTGACAGTTGGTGTGTAAAAGTACAATATTCATGTGACATTCATTAATTTCAAAGACAATTACCAAGCACTTATGAGTTACAACAATGAACAGTGCAAAATTGTTTATAATTCAATACTACACAACGGTACTTTCCTTCTTCATAGGTTTGCTTACTTCACTTCAGGACTCATCTCAGCCATAATGCCCTCTAGGAGGAGCTTCCTCAACTGCTTCCCACACCACACATCTTCTTGGAAGGTACAATGGAGCCTTCTATACAACCTATGTACTTTCATCTAACCATCACGTTGGGTAGAAATTCTCTCTTTGCTAATCTATCCTCCCCACTAGATGGTAAATATTTGAGATGAGGAATTTCAACTGTTTTCTATTATGCTCAGCTTTCTAGCACTCAATAAATACTTACTGACCTCTAATCCAAATTCACCATTTGGTACATAACACAGAATCTAAGAAATGAAAGAAGAAATTGCTAAATAAATATTTTAATAGCCCATTTTCTCTGTTCTGCTGACTACATGAAGACATAAGGAACCGAATAAAAATGGCAGTATAAGGAAAAGTATACCTAGACCCAAGATCTCGGTGTATACAGGAAGGTAGAAGATAATACAAAACAAAAAAGCATATTCATCATTAATGTGAATATAAAAATCTTTCCAATAGTTGAAAAAGATGTATCCTCCAAACACAGGCTATTGTTTAAGACAGTTTAAATAAATACTTGGAAAGGGAAACATTAACACTGATTCTAATTACCCTACCAGTGATCACTCTGTGAATCTGCAAGTTGCTCTGCTTTAGTAAATGGGGTTCTTATAAATAATCTAAACATGTGAAAGGTACCTTTAGGCTAGAACACACCCTCATACCTTGTTGATTTTTCATTCACTTTACTTACCTTTTTCCCTCGTTTTCCCTTATGACGCACATCCTTACTGCCTGGGTCCAGCTGTCTCACATCAGTGCCACTGGCTTCCTTCAACTGGTCAGAGGCAGATCCTGATCTTCCAGGGATCTGGAATTCATTTTCTCCTTCTGCCCGGTCCCAGTTGGTCTAGGGATAAAGGACTCAGTTTAGTTCAAATTCACATTTCTTCTAAGCTATGGTATATCATGCTGCAGTAATATACTTATTCAAATGACAGTGTTTTACAACTACTTTTGCTAGTCTTTCTATTTTTATTGCATCACCAAATCTCAAACCTGTTTTGAGTTCTCTGGTTCATACGATAGGGCCTAAAGTAAATTTCAAAAGACAAAAAGGTATGCGAGATAAACTTACAGCAGTTGCTGGTATAAGTGATCATAAAATCAGATGCAGATACATTTGAATTTAGTTAAATAAGTAAGTTTTAGGAAACACATACAGGACTAAATGAGTTTAAAGGAAGTTAACGAACCTCATATCCAGTTTAATTACTCTGCATTGTTGGAAGGCTGCTTTTGTTTTTTTCACTTCTGCACTCAACACTGAAAGTAATCTGCTTACATACACTTTGCTGAATGAATGCTTAAGAGTAAAGACAAGTCAAAAGTACAGCGAGTAGCTAAGCTTTTTTTTACTGCTGGAGTTCTAAGATAATACAGAAAACTAAAAATAACATGCAACCGAAAAATAAAACCAAACAGAGGAAATAAACAACTAAAGGTCAGTTTAATTTCTTGCCTAGAGCTTGGTAATACAGGTCAAATGAATGTAGGGGTGAAGAGAGTAACAGCTCCATAAAAAATCTGGGTAACTTAAGAATGGCACTCTCTTCAGCTAGTAAACAGCACAGCTTAGATTTGAATTCATACCCATTTGACTACATTGCTGTCTTTGTAAACTCTCCTGAGCATATTGAGGCTACACACACTTCCATATGGGGGTCATAGGTTTTGCTGGCATAGCTTAAATAACTGGCATTTTAGTTCATACTGATCATCAGGTCATTCTCATATACAGTTCTTACAATCTAACACTGAGATGACTCTCTGGCCTATCTCTTACCTGGTGATCTGCTCCCATCACCACTGCCCTTAAATGTTTAATATAGGTATCGACTGAAGGTGTATTCTACTTTCTGAGATAAAAGGAACAAATCTTTCATAACTGAACTCAAAACTATTTTGTGAAATCCTCCCTGACCCGCTTTCACTTTTTTCCATCATCGATTACACTATACTGTTATTTAACAGACTGTTAACATGCTCAAGAATAGGAGCTGTTATATATGTATTTTTTATAGCCCCCTCTGTTCTTTCTTACCATTCCATCATTTAACACAGAACCAGGTTAAATAATGAATTCTAAATATCTGTTGATTGAAGGAGAAAAAAAGTTTATTATATATACTATAGAAACATATATATATATATACACACACACACACACACACATATATATATATGTATGTTACCATGCTGTCAATCTTCTTCAACCTCTAATAACTGTCAATAGGCACAATCAAAAATGGTTTCCTCCCTTGTCCTACATTAGGATGGGCAAGAACACCTAAAGAAAACATCTCCATTATACTCTATTTCAACTTCCTAAAACAGATCAGTATTGGGCAGAGAAAATGGGTTAAATGAGGCAAGTTCACAGGATGACCAACCACTTTCTAAATCACATTTTGCCTTTGTTAATCATAAGAACAAAGACAATTTCCTCAGACAAAACCTATTCCTCAAGACATACCGCTAAAACGTCTAACACTATCCATCTGCTAATGCTGAAATTAATTTCCCTGGTGGCGCAGACAGTAAAGCGTCTGCGGGCAACACGGGAGACCCTGGTTTGATCCCTGGGTCAGGAAGACCCCCTGGAAAAGGAAATAGTAACCCACTCTAGTACTCTTGCCTGGAAAATCCCATAACCTTTGAGAAGCCTGGTAGGCTACAGTCCATGGCGTCGCAAAGAGTTGGGACACGACTGAGCAACTTCACTTTCAATGCTGAAATTACCTTCACTTTACCACTGAGTCCCATTAGTCCACTTTTCCAACTGAGAAGTAAGACAGTGGTCATAACATGAGCTAATACCCACACTACTTGCTAGCACTGATGTAAGTGTCTGAAGGCATTAACTTTAAATCTTCATCATAGCCCAATAAAGTGGATGTTATTATCTTCATTTTATGATAAAGAAACTAAAGTATAGGGAAGATCAACAACTTGAATTAGACAGCTATGAAGTGCAAGAGTTCAAATTCAAACCGAGACAATTTGATTTCAGAGACCACAATAATCACTATTTATAGCCAATTCCCAATGTGTATTAAATATCTGTGAACACACAAGCAAATTATATACTATTTCCTACTGATCAAACTGGAGCTTATTACAATTTCTTTGAAAGCAGGAGTGATTATGTTAAAGTAGGTTTTCATCCTGAAGGTGATCACACAAGTTACCTGGAGCCGAAGGTCAGACATTTGTCTTAACAGATCCTCGAAGAGTTCTCTGTCATCTTCTGGTAATTCAGATGACAAAACGACCCCAACAAAGCATCCTGATGCTTGTAACATCGTATCAGGAAACATGTAGGCACCTACAGTACATTTAAGAACTGGAGACCTATCAGGAACTAGAGGATACAACCAGTCACAAACCTGAAAGGATTAATTGAAAACAAATCAATTAACAAAACAAGGTTTTCACTGAGATTTTAGATACTGTTTTACTAGCAAATACACACTTTTAAGGTTTGAAATGCATTTTACAAGACTCTGTAGAACCATCAGCATCAACAAACCCCCAATAAAAATCAGTCATTTGCTAGTCTGATCCTCCTACACAACACAGGAACTGTACTAAAAATCTTACTGCTCCTCTAATTAAAAGTCTTAAAACCAGTGTCCTGAAATAGCCCATTGTTAACTGATAATGAGTCTAGCTTTAAATAAATAATGGTAGAAGTAAATTAAGCTTTTCTTTATTATTAAACATCTCTTTGTGGAAATTAAATAAAATCAAACTGTTTTCAAGTACTCCACATGTATTTACTGATTTACTCCTCAAAATAATACCATGAAATTGGTTAGTGTCACTTTAACCACAAGAAAACTGAGGCACTGAGGGGTTAATTAAGTTGCTCAGAGTCAACAACTAAAAAGTGAAGCTAGGATTTAAACACATGCTATCTGCCACCAGAGAAGCTAAACAATTATTTTAATCAGAAACATGTTTTTGTTGTTGTTGTTGTTTTTTATTAATTCCAACCTGATCTGAATGAGCAAGAACATTAAGTTACATTTATGGATTCACTATCTATTGTCAAGTTAAACCAAAAGTAGCCCAGCAACATCATACGGGGAAGTCAGATTATCACATTAAGACTTAAACTCACCTCCTGAAGATCTAAATTCAGAAGAAATTAAGGTTAAATCAGAATATCCAAATGTATTAATTTCCATTATTCTTGGAGTGACCAGAATAAAATTTTGTCCCTCACCAAGACATTCTCTAATATTAAGAAACTTGGAAGAACAATTGATTATTATCAAATATTGTGTGATATATATGAGTCAAAGAGATGAAAGATTTCATATAAACAATGGAAAATTCTGGTGTACTATCATATCTCTGACCAACAGAATACAAATACGTAGAGATCAAGCGCACAATGTTGACTCTTTCCTAGAAAAGTGGTTAACAAACATTTTCAAATTCTTATTTTAGTGGATTATCTTTGTTTTAGTCATTTCAAAAGCCACTCTCCAGCTTTAATAAAAATCAAACTTCAGACAAGTTACAATAAAATTGATGGCTGTGTTTTCCAAAGTATGATATATAACCATCTGTAGTATGTGAAATGACTTCAAGTAATATACAAACTATTTAAATTTGAGTAGCTACATATTTCAATATGTATTAGGGAAAAATATAACATCTTTCCCTCAATTTCACAGTTGTTATTGCTTAGGATAAAGTTTAAAAAAATGAGATATTTTAAAAAATATGAACAACAGGTGGTGGATTTAACAAAAAAATCGTAATGGTTACACTTAAACGACGAAAGTTAGGGAAGGGTTTCTTTTACTGTGTCATGATTCTCTAAGATAAACTACATTCTGGTCACCTTGATTGAAATGGAGTATCCTCAAATCTTCTCAAATAAAATTTACAGACCTTTCTTAGGACAGAGTATTATAAACTGGTGAGTTCACCCACCACAGGCTGACTTCTCCCAGTTTCACTTTCACAGAGCAACTTCATATCCAAGTTCCATATGAACTGACTACAAATCTGACAGGTTTAAAAAGTATATTAAAACTAAATTCAAGAGAAAAATAGTTTTTAAAAGCCACAGAATTCTAGTCTGCCAACTTTAAATTAATTTCTAATTTCCTAAATAAAGCAATAGTGATTGCTAAGAACAAAAAATTCAGTAAACACAGGACAACTCTCTTTCAGGACACAGTTATAAATACCTGAATACATGTAAACAAGAGTGCGTTAAAAAGACTCAAATTTTGGGTACAATTTTACTTTTTTATTTAGGACTCAAAATAGGAGATACTAGAAAAACAAATTTTTACTAAAATACAGAACAAATTTTTACTAAAGGATAAGTCATTTTAATGGTTGAGCTCATGTAATCAATAGAACGTTTCAAGTTTTCACTCCCTGCACCTCCAATAGACCAGGACACAAAGGTTTTTTAAATTCCACTCTTACAATGCCACTTTATTACCGGGTCAGCAGAAAATGTTTTATCTTTTATCAGACCCCTCAGAATCAGTAAGCCTACTCTTTTCAACCTTAAGGCTTCTTTTTAAAAAATAACTTATGATTCACACTCTTCTTCCTGTCCATTAATGAAGTCTTTCTTCCAACAACGCTCCCAGATATCTCCTTCATACACTCCTAGTAAATCTCCAACTATCTGTAAACAACCTTCAAGTGGACTTCACAAAGTAAAAGCTGCATAAGAATTGAAAATATAATATACCAAAAAAGAAAACAAATGTAGATAACTAGTACTGTAGCTAAACCACATCACCTGGACTTTTAAAAGCACGTGCCTTGCTCAAATACTCATCTCCCTACCATGCAGATCATTTTGTTATATCCAATGAATATGAATCTATACTTCCAGAAACCCATCTCCCCATCTCGCCAAACTAAAACAGATTGATACTGGACCATCATCTTCAGAATACCTCGGGAATTCCGTAACAGTGTCCTAACCTCAACCTTTATTTAGCAACAGTCTATGCTCTTGGACCAAGTGTATCCTGGTAAATGTATATGTTTGGAAAGTTAGAATTGCTTCTCAGATGATTATCATTACAGTCTCTACTTGCAGACCATGGTTTCTTAACCTTGGCATGACTGACATTTTCAGTTGTTTTTTTTAACTGATAAGAGCCATCCTGTTTAATGTTTAGCAGTATGCCTGGCCTCTACCCACTATATATGCCAGTACCAACAGCACACAGCCCAGTCCCAGCTGTGACAACCAAAAACGCCCCCACTACTGTCGAAACATCCCAGGGTGTGTGGAGACTGCAGAGGTGGTTCCTGCTAGTTGAGAACCACTATTCCAGCCACCGGGGTGCATCTAGCCCAGGTTAGCCCCTCAGTGGGGGCTTGACAACATCTGTGGAAAATTTACGGTTACACATTCACATATGAATTACACAAATCCCTTTTGAAATTAAAGTTATTAGGTTTCTTCTTCAGATAAAAAACTAAAAGAATGAATATTTCAATCTCCTTCAGGTCCTGTCATCACAAATTTAATACTAAAACAAGACTTTATATCTAAAGAAAAATAAATGTTGTCAAATACAAACATGGATGCTGAAGGTGCATAAATTTCATGAATTTAAAAAGGAACTAGAAATTATAGTAACCTATTTGCATTCACTGTCTTGGACACATCATAAATATTATCAAATAAAAGTAGTATATTCTACACATAATTCAAATTTGTTTACCTCTTTCCTTGGCTTACCTGGAGAAATCCAGGAGGACGATTTAGAAAGGTATCAAGAGAATTATCCAAGAACCTCACGATTCGAAGGTACCCAGGATATGAAGGTGCACTAACCTCCCCTGCGGGATTTACAAAGAAAATCTGTACTCCGTTTGGTATCAAAATCAACTCATCTGCATCCAGCCCTAAGGTCTCAAGAGGTGGTGGCTGAGAGTGATTCCTGTAGAAGTTCTCCCCGACTGAGGAGAACTCCCCAGACTCTGTCCCATAGGATACAGTGTAGTGGCCCTCAGCAGCCTGAGGAGTGTAAGCAGGAGGCGCTTCGGACGGATGACTCTGACACGGCAAGGACAGAGCAGCAGGTGGACTACTTGACTCCGCGCTTGCAGCTGAAGTGCTTTCATTTACTTCACCGTGTTGAGGAAGTGAACTAAAGCACTGAGGCTCTGGTGACTTTTCAGACATGTCTTTAGGCGGAAATTCTGGATACAACTTGGGCACCTCCTGAAGATCATTCCGTAGAGAAGTGGCAAGACCCTTCTCCAGAATTTCCAACCTGGTACGTACATTCTGCAGCGTTTCTTTCATTTTCTGTTGCATCTGCCTAGCAGATTCCCACTCAGGACCTGTGTATTCAGGATCCGTTGATGAAATGCTGATTCCTCTAAGCAGGTGTCCTATTCCTTGCTTATAGTAGTTCTTTGCTTCTTCCTTTTGACCTAATTCATCTGTATTCAGTCCTTTATTAACAAATACAAAGGCTTTCTTGTATGCTTCCTTGATGATCTTAATTTCAATAGGCTCTCCATCTTGGGGTTCTTGTTCCATTTCTGCAAAACAGGAAATATATTTTTAATTACCTTATTTAGATATTTGTTTATTTATTATCAATTCCTCCCACATGAATATACTTCAGAGGACTGGAGCCTTGCTCGTCTTTGTTCACTGATGTATTTCCCAAGCCTATTTAGATATGACATACAGGAAATATTCAGTATGTATTTGTTGAATGGATAAATATTGCTCTTGCTCCTAAGTATCTTTTAAATGAAAAACATAAGAGAATAAGCCAGAATATAGCTACTGAATAATTTTCTTGTTCCAGTTTCTTGTAAGAAAGAAAAATTTCCTATATCTTTTAGGCTGGAACAAAAGAATCTCATTCTAAAATTCATTAGACTTCTGGATTACAGCAGCTAATTAAAAATGAATCACATATTGGAATCACATATTGGAGAGGACAGAAATGAGGAGAAAAAAATGTATCTGAATGAAGCTTTAAAGTTACCTTACTTTTATTTAAAGGTGGCAGGTTTCTCACATGCAGTTATCCCCCTTCCCTCTCCAAACTCCATTAAAGTGACTCACAAAATTATTTAAAAGGCATAACCATTTCTTTCAATGAGAAAGAGGCATGAACAGATACTTCACAAATGGCCATGTGAAAAGGCATTCAACACATGACTCCTTCATGGAAATGAAACTAAAACCCAAAATATGACTACAGATGACCCTTGAACAGTATGGGTCCACCTAGACATGGATTATTTTCAATAAACACAGTAGTGTATTTTCATTTTATGGCTCTTTAATTAAGTGTGGGGAAAGTTTGTGTTTGATTAGAGACCACAACATGTGGAATCAAAAGAAAGAGGGTCCGTGTCCTGATTCAATCCAAAGTGTTTCAGTTTTCTGCCCTTGTTATTTATCAATTCCTTTATGTCTGAGGCAGAGCCAGTAATACAGAGATTTTTAACTATGTGGTGACTGGCACCTCTAATCCCATTGTTCAAGGTCAATTATATATACTTATCAGGTGGCTAAAATTGAATACTGGCAAATGTTAGAGAAGATGGAAACTGGAACTCTCATATACTTTGCTGGTGTAAGTGAAAAATGGTACAGCCACTATGGAAGTCTGGCATTTCTATCTAAGGTACGTTCACTCACTCTATGATCCAGCAATTCCACTTAAGAGGTATATAACCGAGAGAAATGAATGAATATACACACCAAAAATATGTACAATAATATTCATAGCAGCTTTATTCACAAAAGCCAAAATCTCGAAACAACCCAAATGCCCGCTCGCAGAAGGGATAAACAGTGGCTTGTTCATATTACGCAGTAATACACAGGATTTTTTTTTTAATTGATGCCTGCAATGCGGATGACTTACCAAGTCTTTGCACAAAAGAAGCTACATACAAAAGATTTCATACTGAGACTACTATACTGTATGATTTTGAGGAACAAGCAAAACTAGTCCTTGATGAGAGAAACAAAAATAATGACTACAGGTGCTGGTACAGACTTGAAAGGGACACAAGGGGACCTTAGAGCATATGGAAATGCTCTCTAGATCTGAGTGGTGACTATATAGTGTATGCATATATTAAAAATCTGTAAATTTAGGATTAATGCACTATATTGCACCTTGTTATACCCATTAATATATCCATTAATTATATATCCATATATCCATAATTATATATCCATTAATAAAATTAACAAAGCCATAACTCACAAAGAGGGAGGATGGAGGGAGTCAACAGTACCTCGTTTTTCAAAGGGGCGGCAGACACGGTAACTCATAAAACAGATCTGAGAAAGCTGAAGCCTACACTGTCAATCAGGAAACCATAGAAGCAGCCCCACATATATTTCCTGGTAGAACCTCCAAAAGGCACAGGAACTGATGGGATTCAGTCCTCCTCTGGAAGAGAGAGTAGAGGACTGAATCTGGGATGGATTCAAAGCTAATTTGCAAACTAATACAGCCACTATAGAGAACAGTGTGGAGATTCCTTAAAAAACTGGAAATAGAACTGCCAAATGACCCAGCAATCCCACTCCTGGGCATACACACCGAGGAAACCAGATCTGAAAGAGACACGTGTACCCCAATGTTCATCACAGCACTGTTTATAATAGTCAGGACATGGAAACAACCTAGATGCCCATCAGCAGATGAATGGATAAGGAAGCTGTGGCACATATACACCATGGAATATTACTCAGCCATTAAAAAGAATTCATTTGAATCAGTTCTAATGAGATGGATGAAACTGGAGCCCATTATACAGAGTGAAGTAAGCCAGAAAAATAAAGACCAATACAGTATACTAACGCATATATATGCAATTTAAAAAGATGGTAATGATAACCCTATATGCAAAACAGAAAAAGAGACACAGATGTACAGAACAGACTTTCAGACTCTGTGGGAGAAGGCGAGGGTGGGATGTTCAGAGAGAACAGCAGTGAAACAAGTATACTATCAAGGGTGAAACAGATCACCAGTCCAGGTTGGATGCATGAGACAAGTGCTCAGGGCTGGTGCACTGGGAAGACCCAGAGGGATGGGATGGGGAGGGAGGTGGGAGGGGGGATCGGGATGGGGAACACATGTAAATCCATGGCTGATTCATGTCAAGGTATGGCAACAAAACACACTACAATACTGTAAAGTAATTAGCTTCCAACTAATAAAAATAAATAGGAAAAAAAAAAAAACAACAACAAAGCTAATTTACAAAGTAGACCCTCAGATCTCTCCTAACCAAGACCAAGAACACTATTTCTCTCCAGCCCTGAAAGAAGACTGGGTGCTTTAATTCAAAAGAGCATAGAAGAAAATACCTAATGTGTTCTTAAGTTTTCAGACGAGATCCATATTAACTGTGGGAGGACTCAGGATTTAATTAGCGATAAGTACATGGTAAACTAAGGAAATAAAAATCAAGACAATTATTAACTCCAAGGAAAACAAGATGCTGAGCTAGAAAGAAAAGTAATCAATGTACTTCATGTTTCAATTTTGATTAATATCATAATAATATAAATAATGAATCCTGATACAAGCCAAATTATAATACAAACATCGTGAGAAGATGGGAAGATGAATGGATAGAAAGTTTATGTGCCTGTGGTACACAGCATGGGAGACCTAAAATTCTATCTTTCCTACTAGGAAGTTAATGGACAGTGCCTAACACTGAAAAATAAAGTAACAATATAAGCATCTTGTTTATTACAGATTCAGACAGAAAGACCAGGCGTGGTAAGAAAATGGATACAAGCTTTGGGAGTAAGGGATGAGACTAGGATGGTGGGATCTCTGATTTTCACTGCAAGCCTTATAAAAATATTTAATTCTTTGTATGTGCAGGATAAAAACAATTACTAATTTTAAAAAAGTAAACTAAAGCTTTAGAGCAGCACTGTCCAACAGAATTATAAATGTTAACTACATATGTAATTTAAAATTTTCTAATAGCCAGATTTAAAAAGTAAAAAATTTCAGTGACAGCATTTATCCAAAAACATCCAAAATATTATTTCACCATGTACCCAATATAAAAATTATTAATGAGATAGTTTTCCTTATTTTTGGCATTAAGTCTTCAAAACCTAGTATGTATTTTACACTTGAGGCATACCTTAATTTCCACTACCTTCATCTCAAGCCCTCAATACCCACATGTGCCTACTACAGACACTGTGGTTTTATTTTCCTGCGATCTCAGTAAAAATTATAATGATAGGATGATTTAAAGGACTTAAGGCTCTTTTAGCAACCATCTGCACTATAAAGGCATCACCAAACTAGCCTAACCATACTTTCTAATCTGAAAAATAAACCACTGGTCAGTCACATACAGGGACTTCACAGTAGTTGAGTGTGTGTGTGTATACATTTATATATATTTGTCCTCAATTTAGAAAACATTCCATACAATCGACCATCATCAGAGATCTTACTTGTCCCACCTTGAATCCCCTATGAAAACTGACAATCCCACCCTGGAATCCTGTCTTTAGAACAGAATGCCAGTAGAATGCTTTCTTTCCTCAGACACCACGGGATAGGAATTCTGCATTCCACCTTCCTTAGGATACAAGCAGACTCAGAGTTCAGAAAGCAAGACAGCAGAGGTTACACAGGCTATGGCGAGCTGACCCAGGAATTTAACCAGCACTCTTAAGTCTGCTCAAATGCCTTGAACAGGGTCTTGAACACCATGACTTGGCATTTTTTGCTCTGTGCTATAGGATATCACGTGTTCTTCCCTGATAGCTCAACTGGTAAAAAACCCGCCTACAATGCAGGAGACCCCAGTTTGATTCCTGGGTAGGGAAGATCCCTTGGAGAAGGGATAGGCTACCATTCCAGTATTCTTGGACTTCCCTTGTGGCTCAGCTGGTAAAGAATCCGCCTGCAATGCGGGAGACCTGGGTTCAATTCCTGGGTTGGGAAGATCCCCTGGAGAAGGGAAAGACTACCCACTCCAGTATTCTGACCTGGAGAATTCCATGGACTGTATAGTCCATGGGGTCGCAGAGAGTCAGACAGGACTGAGCGACTTCACTTTCACAGGACATCATGACTACCAAGGACACCATTTACAGAGCTTTTAATGTGTGCTGGAGACCAAGCTACATGTTCATTTCATTCAGTCCTTACAAATAACTCTTGAGACATTGTTACTGTTACTAGTACTTTGCAGAAGAAAAATGAGGTTTGAAGGCCATAACTGCTTTAGATCACATGTTTCTAAAAAACCTTGGAGCTAAGAATTACTTTCATATTTTTAAAAGCATATAAAAACAAGGATATGCAACAGAGATTATATATGGCCCACAAGCCTACATCTTACTATCTACTTTCTGGAACTTTACAAAAAGAGTTTACTAACCCATCACCTTAGATTACAGAGTTAGATAGTCTGATTCCAAAACTAATCCTCTAAATCAGGGTTTCTCAATCTCAGTTTGATTCACATTTTGGGCTGGAAAATTCTTTGTTATGGGAGGCCGTCCAGATC